ACCGTATCCAAAATAACAGTACATGTGTCCAATATGAAAAGCAAAAATACAAACTCCCACTGAAACTAGATATCCTCAAGAGACATTACACCCATATGAGCAGTGTGTTCATGAAAGACCTTGGGTATCAATCCCTTAGTAAGCGGATCCGCAACCATAGAGTTTGTCCCAATATACTCTATTGACACCTGTCCACTCCGAACTCTTTCTTTAACAGCAAGGAACTTGATCTCTATGTGTTTTGACTTCGTCGAGCTCCTGTTGTTATTAGAATACAGCACTGCTGATTTATTGTCACAAAATATCTTAAATGGTCTTTCTATATTGTCCACAATACGCAGCCCAGTGACAAAATTACGCAGCCATATTCCATGATTTGATGCCTCATAACACGCTATAAACTCCGCTGCCATAGTAGAAGTAGCTATGATGTCTGCTTAGCACTCTTCCAAGAAATAGCACCTCCAGCAAGCAGGTAAATATAGCCTCAAGTGGATCTCCTACTATCTTGGCATCCAGCGAAATCGGAATCAGAATAACCAATGATCTCCAACTGATCCGATCTCCTGTATGTGAGCATGTAGTCTTTTGTTCTCTGTAAATACCGCATGACCCGTTTGACTGCTTTTCAATGATCCATTCCCAGGTTACTTAAATATCTCCCTAGCATCCAAACAATGTACGCTATATCCGGACGCGTACAAACCTGAACATACATCAGACTCCCTATAGCTGAGGAATAAGGAATCTTCTGCATTTCTTTAATTTCCAAGTCATTTTTAGGCCAGTGACTTAAGCTGAACTTGTCTCCTTTAGCCACAGGGGTGTCACGTACATGTGTCCAATATGAAAAGCAAAAATACAAACTCCCACTGAAACTAGATATCCTCAAGAGACATTACACCCATATGAGCAGTGTGCTCATGAAAGACCTTGGGTATCAATCCCTTAGTAAGCGGATCCGCAACCATAGAGTTTGTCCCAATATACTCTATTGACACCTGTCCACTCTGAACTCTTTCTTTAACAGTAAGGAACTTGATCTCTATGTGTTTTGACTTCGTCGAGCTCCTGTTGTTATTAGAATACAGCACTGCTGATTTATTGTCACAAAATATCTTAAATGGTCTTTCTATATTGTCCACAATACGCAGCCCAGTGACAAATTTACGCAGCCATATTCCATGATTTGATGCCTCATAACACGTTATAAACTCCGCTGCCATAGTAGAAGTAGCTATGATGTCTGCTTAGCACTCTTCCAAGAAATAGCACCTCCAGCAAGCAGGTAAATATAGCCTCAAGTGGATCTCCTACTATCTTGGCATCCCGCGAAATCGGAATCAGAATAACCAATGATCTCCAACTGATCCGATCTCCTGTATGTGAGCATGTAGTCTTTTGTTCTCTGTAAATACCGCATGACCCGTTTGACTGCTTTTTAATGATCCATTCCCAGGTTACTTAAATATCTCCCTAGCATCCAAACAATGTACGCTATATCCGGACGCGTACAAACCTAAGCATACATCAGACTCCCTATAGCTGAGGAATAAGGAATCTTCTGCATTTCTTTAATTTCCAAGTCATTTTTAGGCCAGTGACTTAAGCTGAACTTGTCTCCTTTAGCCACAGGGGTGTCACATAGTTTACAATCTTGCATGCCATATCTTTTAAATACCTTTTCGATATAACTCTTTTGTGATAATCCAAGAATACCTCGAGAACGATCTCGGTGTATCTGAATTCCTAATACAAAAGAGGCATCACCAAGATCTTTCATCTCAAAATTCTTTCCTAGAAATCTCTTGGTTTCGTGCAATAAGTCTATATCGTTGCTGGTAAGCAATATGTCATCGACATATAAACCAGAAAAATATACTTACTCCCACTGAACTTGTGTTATAGACAATCACCAACCAAATTCATCTCAAAACCAAATGAGATGATCGCCTGATGAAACTTGTAGTACCATTGACGAGATGCTTGTTTGAGTCCATAGATGAATTTCTTTAATGTACAAGCCATTTGCTTTGCATTGTCCGATACAAAGTTTTTTGGTTGTACCATATAAATTGTTTCATCAATATGACCATTGAGAAATGTTGTCTTAACATCCATCTGATGTAGCTCAAGATCGAAATGCGCTACCAATGCCATTATGGTCCTGAAAGAGTCTTTCGAAGAAATCGGAGAGAAAGTCTCTTTATAATCGATGCCTTCTTTCTGTGTAAAGCCCTTTGCGACAAGACGAGCCTTATACCTCTCTACATCACCTTTCGAATCCCTCTTGGTCTTAAATATCCATTTGCAACCAATGGGTTTCGCACCTTCAGGCAATGGAACGAGGTCCTATACGTCATTGTCCTTCATGGACTTTATCTCTTCAGTCATAGCATCGAGCCACTTTTGAAAGTTAGAACTTTTCATGGCTTGACGGAAGTTGATCGGATCATCTTCCACCATTCCAATGTCAACTTCATGTTCTTGAAGAAATACGATGTAATTATTCGAAACCGCACTTCTCCTCTCTCTAGTGGATCTTCTTAATGGCATTGGTTCTTGAGGCTGTAAAGTTTGTTCTTGTGGAACAATTTGTCGATCTTGAGAGGGAGGTATGACATTGTCTTGATCCAGAGTTGCTTCTTGAGCAATATCAGAGATAGAAACCTGATCATTGTCAATGGCAATTGGAGGAATTTCAACATATTCCTCCTCAAAGACAAAGCCTATAACCCTTTCTCCCCCCCGCAAACTCAACATCCTCAAAGAACCTTACATTTCCTGTCTCGAAAATTGCTTTTAGTCGTGGGATCATAAAACTTGTAACTCCTGGACCTTTCAGAATATCCAACGAAATAGCAACTGATGGTCCTTGCGTCCAGTTTCTTTCACTTGGCTTATAGGGCCTTGCCTCAGCTGGACACCCCCAAATATGTATATGATTCAAACTAGGCTTCTTGCCCGTCCAAAGCTCATATGGGGTTTTATCAGTGGCCTTAGTTGGAACTCTGTTGAGTATATAAGCTGCAATCTTTAATGCTTCACCCCAAAGAGATTCTGGTAAGGTAGTATGACTAATCATATTCCTCACCATGTCCTTAAGCGTTCTGTTTCGTCTTTCAGCAACACCATTCATAGTGGGCGAACCCGGCATAGTGTACTGTGGGACGATACCGCATTCCTCTAAGAATTTAGCAAACGGTCCTGGACGCTGTTCACCTGAACCGTCATATCTGCCATAGTATTCACCCCCACGGTCAGATCTGACGTTTTTAATCCTTTTGTCGAGTTGGTTCTCAACTTCAGCTTTGTAGTATTTGAACACATCCAGTGACTGATTTTTCATGAATAAGATATATGTAGCCATATCTTGAAAAGTCGTCTATGAACGTTCTTTGGACCGATTTATTGATTACACATTAAACCAAATAATTGTCTCACGTTTATCACCACAGGTGCACGTGTATTCGACTAAATATTGACCTTCCTTTGGGCCGACCAATATTCCCATGAATAACACGTGCACAAACACTTTTTAACATTCTAAATTAGTCAATTTTCACAAGAGATGTTGTTTTGGCAACATGTTGCTTCAATTAACTAACTTTCGAATATTATATCTATTAAAAGAGTCTTTAGTACCAAAATTTGAGAAAGAGAATCACCAATTTTGCATATTTTGATTAGTTTTAAACTTTAGGGGCCTTAAGATTAATACTTCAAAACTTTAAGGGGGCAAAATTAAGTAATTCCAAACTTTAGGTGTTGAAATTAATAAACTTGAAACTTTATGGACCATAATTAATTAATTCAATACTTTAGTGGATCAATTAGAACAAATTCTGAAACTTTAGGGGCCAAAATTGACCAATTCAAAACTTTAGGGATCAAATTTTAAAAATTTGAAACTTAAGGGGTCAATTTGAATTAATTATTAACTTAGGGGGCCAATTTGAATTAATAATTAAATTTTGAGGGCTTTAATTATAAATTCAGAACTTTAATGGCCCGAATTAATTAATTTTAAAACCTTATGGACTGAATTATTAAATTCGAAACTTAAAGGCCCAAATCTTAATATAACTTAAAGGTTAGGGACTGAAAACCTTAATTTTATAACTCTAACCCTAATTGCAACTAGGAGCCTCAACTTTCCTAATTTACAGAAGAGGCCCCCGCCCCCAAAAATCAACAAAAATTCCTTCAATCTTTTCCTAGGGCGGCGCAAGCCGGCACCGCCCCTTACAGATTGGAGTGCCGATCTTTCTTCTTGGCAGCCTCAGCGCTGCAATGTTGGCAGCAGCTTGCGCTGCCGTTGCATTGCTCTGCTGGCCGCCGGCGAAATTCAAATTTTTTTTTTTTAATTTGAAATCAAAATCCAAATTTCAAATCTGAATTTTCTAAACTAATTAATCCGAATTTCTAAAATAACAAAATTATACCGCAAAAAATTTTCAAATTTAACAAAATGTATAACAAAAAATTGTTAAATCTGAAAATTTCAAAATATATTGCAAGAACCAAACTATATTATTTGATTCTCAATGATTCAACATAAAGAGGCTCTGATACCACTTGTTAGATAATTTAGTTCTTTAAATTACCGGATCTTTTATGTTAAATCATCAAGAAATACAAGAATTAAAGCGGAAGCGTACCTGAATCAGACATGGTTAATGCAATATGAATTTCGCGGTATAGTCTTCCAAATCTACACGCAATCTCCTTTTCCTCTCTGTGATGGGATGCAGTAGAGAATAAATAATACGTTGTATGTGATCTGGGGACCATAACCTATTTATATAGGGATGTCTTTTGACCTAATTCGGCCCATCATAGAATTAGAACTTGGGGCCCGGTCTCTACATATATGTAAACCCATAATTTAACTAGATACATTAAAGCCCAAACTCGAAACTTTATTAAATCACTTTAATTGGGCTCAACCGAATTCGATAGCCTATAATTTAACACACAATTATTCACACATACAAGCCCATCTTTAATTAAAAATCCTTACAAACCAAGCTACTGAAAATAACAAGCCAATTACTATTTTAATAAATACAAATTTAAGGTGCATGCATGCAACGTTTCCATCTCCACAAATCTCACGAATGGGGATATTTTCTGATTCATCAGTTTTTATGCAATGACCAGCTCGATTGCTGTTTTCCACAACCACAGGTTCCTATTTTTTTTATTTTTTCCGTGGCATGCGAAAACGAGAATTCCATGTTTGGCAGTATAAGCTTGCAGCCTTGGTGATGCAGAAGCATACAAATTGATAAGGAACAATAAGAAATAAGGGGATCAAAGGGAAGAATTGAGGGCAAAAAATACTTTTTTCATATAGTTCAAGTGTGTCCATAAACATTGTCTTAAACCCCTTTATATAGGAAGGAGTTTGAAATTAAATGAACTTCTTATCTAAACAAACTTGAAAATAAAAGAGAACATTATCAAAATAAAACTACTAAATAAACTCGAATTCTACTAATTATTAGTCTTTCGGCTTGAATAGACTTTTAATTGTTTCCTTGTTGCATCACTTGGTATTGGACTTAATGAAACACAATTCATATTTGAATGAAATGAATCATTTCTACCACAATTTTGAGGACCCAATTCCACGGTGCCAAAAAGCCAATGCTAAACCTAACAAGTTTTTTCCATTCTCAAACCCAATATTAATAGCTATTCCCAATTTCTTCCTGCCAGACAAGAATATCAACAAAATGAACACACAATACCAATAAAACACTAAAATTTCAACCAAAAAAGAAAAGAGTGCTACCTTGCCGTCAGCGCAGCCAAATCCTTCAAAATCCGAACGGCCATCCTCATAATGTCTTGCCTCGTTCTCAGCATCCTCGAGGGGAAGCTGAACCTGGGCCAACATGAGATAATTGAGCTTGTCCTCCGAAGCATGAGTCTCGAGAATCATCCTCTGGACCGAGTGGTCCTTTCCCGACTGCTCCTGTCAGTCCAGCAGCCACTCGACCGTAAGAACAACCATTCAAGAGCTTGAGTTTCTTCTTCCAAATCTTGTACTCCAAATCTGTATTTACATTATTAAAATATAGAAATAATTTATTTTTTTTTTTGGGGGGGGGGGGACATTATTAAAATATAGAAATAATATTTTTTGGGGGGGTAAATCTAGTTATCTTTTTAATTAAGAGAATCATAGGCATTCACATCTACGAAGACGTGAATACAAACAATTAGGATCATCTATAATAAGTACTAACAACAATCTCAATTTTTTGAACTAGCAATTTACAAAATTGATTACTTTTTACAATTATCCTTACAGGAATAACCATCTACCAAAAATTGAATGTAAGCAAACGAAACAAAACTTCACTAATGTAAGCAAAAATGATCAAACAAAAAGCAATTAGGAATCCTCATTATGCAAATTGGTCTAATGCCTTCTCTTCACTTAGCTTATCAATTATCTAGTTGAAAACAGTCACGCTAAACTTGGATCTTCAATGAAAAAAATGTTCATTGTCAAATACCAAATGGATTGGATCGCACCGCACGCATCTTAATACCAGATTCTTGGTGCTGTATGAACATCCCTCACAAGCATGGCTAATCTACTTCATAAGATGCAATCATTGTCTTACAAAAGGTCAATGAAGGCCATAAGTTATGTGTTCTAGTAAAGCAACACATGCTGAAACAGTTAGTGTGACTCTTCACATTTGATCATTGCTTCTTGAAGTCTAAGCCGTATGACACTTGTCTCCTGTAAAATATAGAAAGAATTGTCAAATGGATGAAGTGTCATTTTGAAATGAGGACATTGTGAAAAACATTTTTCGACTCAACTCCTAACAAAACAAGTGCCACTTTCCTAAAGTAAGCTTATCCTTTCTTATTCCTTTTCCAAGCATTCTTATCAAAATAATTCGTCTTATACACTTGCACCTGCGAAACCCGTGCATTCCACTTTCACTTTTTCACACCTGTGGAAAAAATCAAATAGGGAAAGCATACAGCATTTGTCTTTCATCTCAATTAGAATTAGTACATTATATGTCCGTGCTAATATGTCACTAACTGTTCTAAATAAATACTCAATACCCAAGTTGGCTTACAAAGTCGACCATCATATGGCTAAGATTAAGCTAGTGATAACAAGCATACATGTCTGAAGTCTAGGTATAAATATTTGGGAAATTTATGTAATACTATTCTTCAAACTTTAAGCATATTGTAGGACTAATGGTTCTTCCAATCTCAAAAAACAGCTTTATCAGTCATCAATTCAGCAAAGATAAGGGGCAACATAGTCATGTAATAACGCAAGAAAGTAAATATTGAACTTTATTTAGTTGTTGATACCTACCTATCTTTAATCCCCGATTCTCTCAACAGCAAGTTCTTTTAGAGCATGCCATGATAGTTGGAGATACAGGACTTGGGAATGTTGAAGGTGGTTTCCTCACAAATGGGTGCTCCAATAGTTGAGCAGCAGTAGGCCGATCATCAGGGTTAACTTGTAAGCATTTGAGAATAAAATCCTGAGCATCTCTTGATAAGGTATTGGGTATAGGAGGTAGTTCACCCCGTCCAATTCTGAACAATGCTTGCATCTGTCATGCAACAAAAAGAAATGATTCTTACTAAACTACTTAGCATTTAACATTGGAAAGGCATCTTATTCACCCAAAAAACCTCGAAACAAGCAGAGAAGTAAAAGACGTCATAACCGAAGAGAGCACAATAAAACACAATTCAAAGCAATCATCGGACATGCCACCAAGCATTTAAAGTGAATATTGCAAAGAAGGCATGTGATTGAAACTAACTGCTAGAAAAGTGCCTTGCTCCGATCCAGTTAATAAATCAGTGTTGTGTAAAAGCAAAATTTCCAGATATGCGAGACTATTATAGCTAAATAATAGATCCTTTTTTCTTTTCATCTCTTCGTGTAATTAATTAAACAGGCATAGCATAACCAAATAATTTCAGCAGATAATTAGATGGAACATCGCGAACGACCACAAACCCCTTCAATGCGAATGAAATAAACTACAGTCTACCTCAAGTCCTCAACAAATATCATTGAACTAAAAACAGCACGGATGTCACCAGAATCTAATCAGAAGGAAATAGGAAACCATAAAGCAAACTACTTGGATCTCAGTCCAAAAAGAAATTAAGAAATTAGAGTAATAAATGTTTGTAAAAGGCCACCATTACAAAGCTTAACAAAGGCATAAAAATATAATAAAATGAAATTAAGAAATATAAATAGAAAATGGTCGGCAGAAGTGACATCACAGAGATGAATGAAGACACAAAAAAGAATTTCAGAAATCTACTTAAAAATTTGTGGCACGAGTATCTTACAATTCCTTCTTTAAAAAAAGAAAAAAAAAGAAAAGAAAAAAAAAAGGAGGACATGTAATAAATTTATGAAGATAAAATAAATGGAAGCAAACTATTTCAGAACAGTTTTACGAGTAAAATTGGTTTCTTGTGTCTCCCACGTATATTATTGTTTAGTGAATTAGACTTTCTGATAAGATTCTCTTTCCTGTTTTATACTAGAGAGATAGAATGAACCATATCCTCATGATTGAAAAGGGGAGAAAATCTACGGGTTCTATCTTTTACACATCTCAGGCTGATAGAAAGCTTCAATCATAAACTTTTTTTCTTCTCAAAGGAGTTACAAATCGTATTAAGCAAGTTGCATGATAGCCCAAAACATAGCCTACAAAGTGTTCTAGCATAACTTCTAATAGCTTCAGATGTACATACCCCTTCCAATTGAGAGTAAGGGATTTGACCAGTTAACATCTCCAAAACAGTGCAACCAAGGCTCCATATGTCAGCAGCACGCCCATAGCCATGGTTCCTTTGGTTCACGACCTGGCAGGATATACAGTTTTAAGGTCACAGAAACTTCAAAGTTTTGTACTATGCATAAAAAATGTATGAGACTCCCAAAAAAATGTTAAGAGCATTCCCTCTCCTCCACAATTGAGCTGGCCACTGGGAAAATGAAAGTAGTCCACAAGGAGGAAAATTCGCAAGATGTACGTTGTCCAAGCAGGAATCAGAAATTATAGTTAAATTCTTCAATAACTCAGGCAAGTCATTCCTCACATTTGAATTCCAAAACAAAGCAAAATTAATTTTATTCTGGTGCTAAACTACCATTGGAAGTATGAACACCCAACCATTATGTTTTGTAAGAGGGATGTTGAATGAAACTCATTTATCACTGTAACTGAAGAATGAAAACAATAGACTATCCTATGTAGAAGTCGTCCAAACATCATATCTGATATAAACAAAAGGAGCGAGATCAAAAACTTTAATCGAGAGATGTATGTATATAGGTGCAAGGACCACCATTACGTATACCCACATAGTAGTAGATTTGGAAAAACAGAAAATACCTCTGGAGCCATCCAAAACGGTGTTCCTTTGCAAGATTTTATGTCATTTAGTTTCGTAGCCTGTAAAATCACATGAAAAAACTTCATAGGCATAAAAAACGATTACAACAAAAGGAAACAGTTATCTTTTGTGACTAAGAAACCAACCTTTGCCAATCCAAAATCTGCCAGTTTCACAGACCCACTTGCATGGACCAATATATTGGCACATTTGATATCCCTAGAAGAAAAGAAAAAAAGTTCTCTCAGAATTAAAAAAATTATAAACATAATATGTCTTAATTCTTCTAGGTTACAAGTTCATGAATATGCATATGCTTGAGTATAAAAGACCCATATACTCTTGCATAAATTTCTTTCATGTTGATACCTCCTAAACTATCCAATTTTAAATCAATGTATACCTAATAGATAAAATTTAAAATCAGGAGACACAATAGAAAGAGAAAAATAAAAACAGCCAAGACTGCCATTTCTAGGGAAACTACAACTTCCAGAATAATAAAATTATGTTTTGCATTCATAGGTAAGATGACAAAGAGAAACAACTAAAAAGTCGAAATGTAATACAAATAAGAATGCTTGTATCACCTGTGGACCACATCCTTGCGATGGAGATAGTTCAACCCGCTCAAAATCTGCCTTGTGTATGCAGAGACTTGGGAGTCTCGTAATCGATACTTTTGGTACAGTCTTGCGAGTGAACCTTTGGTTACAAGCTCAAGGAAGATATAGAGTTTAGCATTGTCCTGGAAAGATTGAGTTCCGTTATACCAATCCACATTCTGAGAGAGAAGAAGAATGTTGAAAAATGGAGGATCCACTGAAACTAATAATGTATACCTTGTCAGTACCAAGATAGCGAACAATATTGTCGTGTCGAAACTGACTTAGAAGGGATATCTCCTAAACCCATCAAAATTAAGAGGAGAAAATAATTAATCCAAGTAGTAGCTGTGTGGACTGTACGATTTCCACTTTCATATTCAATCAACACAAATTTTTTAGCATCAAGACATTATAAATTCTTCTCACCTGTTCAAGTTGAAAAAGGCTTTGCTGGCCTTGGCTACCCTGGTCAAGTAAAGAAACCTCCTTTACAGCAAAAAAGAATCCATCACTGCATCAGTTGAAAAAAATTTAAGGATCCAAAAACGATGATAGAAAGTTCATTCCATATTAACTAAAAACACAAAAATAATTTATTTTGCTTTTTCTGCAGTTAAAATAAGAGGTATTGCTTAGTTGATTTGTTAGGAGGTACTCAGATGTTTGAAATAATTTCAAAGTATTTCAAAATCACAGTGGGGGTCAGTTCTGTGACAGCCTTAATGGTTCAAGATATGAGTCAACTCGATTCTCTTTGACCCAACTGGCTGAACAACTCCAACTACATTCCAAATTTAAGAGAGCTTTCAATTTAAATAATGATCTCTACATAGTCATGTAGGTGAACCTAATTGAAGAATACTGCTGACAAAAGACTGAAACAGATGGTAAAGGATGATGCGATGAACCACCATTATTTGTTGAATCAGAACCCTCAATTTTGACAAGTTATTTCTGGACATCTGTAGAAACAATGTAAATATTGCAAAAGGCCAATGAATGATTTCATTTGAAGTTTCACATGGTTGACAGCAGAACTGCATTGTAATAACAAGGAAGGGCACAGGGTCCAAGCACCTGAGCCTATGTTTTCAAAAAACCAACTGTTTGGTAAAGGGGAATCCAGAATGGCCTGTTCGCATATAGTTTGCTTAGCAGGGATCTCATTATGGGAATGGCCTGTTCTCATATTTCCTGACCCAACATACATTATCATATGCAACCTAGACCCCAAAACCATATGCTCCCTTTTACGACTTTGTATATTGGCTTTCATCTTATAGAGCCTTATCTCATATACAGTGTTCCTCATAATTTCTCTCACGACCAAGTCTATATCACAAAATCACATGCTTCTCTTCTCTTCCTTCCTCTCTACCTATCAGCAGCCAGCAAAGGAAGAATTGTAGAAAACACAAATTTAGCATTCCATTTCAACTCAATTAACTCAATCAAGTTTCTTCATACATTTCTACTAGAAGCATTGCAACCATATATAAGATATGATTCAAACAATTTTTCACATAATAGTATCTTTACTATGAAACCTCCATATTGCACGGTGACCAAGAAAAGTCATTGCCTTGTTTAAAGTTTGTATAAGTATCTAATGGATTTTCAGATATTAAAAGCATAATTGTGTCCCTTAGTCTACAGAGTACTGTGTACCAGCAAAAGAAGATCCAGCATTTTAATTATAATTTGAAAGCATAATATCTCAAAGCATCATTTGAGAACCGGTTGGTATTTGCATCACAAATATGGAATAAGTTGACTAGTCAAAGTACTTTTCCTTTTCGTTTTAACGAATAAAATTCAATATACGATCATGTTAGAGGTCTATAATGAAGTTCTTGTGTATTGCTAATAGAATTCTTACGCAGTGAAGCCCTCATACACCGTTCCAAATGACCCACTGCCGAGAACGTCACCCTTCTGCCAAGAGCTGATGTCGCACTTGAATGAACCATTCAGCGAGACAGAGTATATAGTCTCCACAGTCAAGCCAACAAAATCATCATAATTCTCGTCGTTTGTCGAATCTGAACACGATTCCAAACCAACCGTGGTTACATTCTTCACACTCTCCTCGCTTACTTCTTGCTTTCCGACAATTTCGCTCCTGTTAACCTCTTCATTTTCTTCAGGCTCATCCACCAAACTAGTAGCGACATCACGAGGTGAATTCGAGTCTCGATCATCTTGAGGACCAAAACCCCGCAATATATCCCAAGTAGAACTTGTATTGTCCACAACTGACCGCATAATTACCGGTGGAGGCGCCAATTTTAGCGGCCTATTGCCTTCAAATTTAATGTCCCAACCACCATTATTAACCGTAGCTACAGTTTTATTCAAGTTCAAATGAACTCCATCCTTCAACTCGGCATCACTAACCTTGATCACAGCTTCAAAACGTTCCGATAATTCATCCGAAACAGAACGATCGATAGACCCCGGAGTTTTCAAATTACTTGAAGGAGACAAAGCCCTTCGAGCCTCCCAAGCCGCCACAGGAATCGAGAAGTCCTCCGGTCCCGAAAGGCCTAAAGATTTACAAATTCGATCAAATTCTCCATCAACTCCTTCGACTCGGAAGCTGGTTCGATCAGATAGTGGCAAGACGTCGAGCGATCGAGTCTTGTGGACCGACGGTTCGTCAAAGGAATTCGACGAGGAGGAAGGTGAAGAAAACGAGCTTGCATCCGCATCGTAATCAATGTTCTTTATCGCGTTCCGTCGGTCAAGCCTCGGTCTCTGTTGCTGATGGTGCTGTCTTTTCTGCCTCAAATGAATCATCCTTCATTCCCAAGTCTCTCTACACGTACATATACATATACATACAGATTAGTGTTTGTGAAAATTCAGATGAGACGGAGTGACGCTTGCTTTAGCTTTTGCTCTGAACTTTTTTCAACGAGTATTTTACTATATTGAAGAAGAAGAGAAGCGTGTCGTGTGTACGGGTTTGACCCATTTTGAATGGGATTACAAAAATTTGTTGAAAGCGAACAGGGAGGGAACTGGTAAAACATTTACGCGTTGCCACGTGGCGGCTTCGTAGAGCTGTTTAGTACTGCCCCAAATGCTTGCCGCCAATTGGGCTGAATAAAATTTGTACTCTTTTAACTTTAACATTGTTATTATTGTCAGATTTAAAATAAAAAAAAAATGAAAAAAGAATCGTAGAGTGAATCCATAGAATCTTGCAGGTGGGCCAACAGATAGGCTAAGGCAGACTAAAATCTCGTTTAACACTCCACCGAGGAAAAATAGTAGATAAAAATTAAAATATTATTATTTATAATCAACGATTACTAACAATTTGTTATTTAAAATATCAAATTTTTTAACTTTCTAAAGTTTTAGATGCTTTTCAAATTAAGTATTATGCGCTTTGAAAATAGAGAATTTTTTTTAAAGATATTTTAATAACTTAAATAACAAATTATCACATAAGAATAACAATTGTAGTCGTTGATTATAAATAATATTACTCTATAATTTATGAACAAGTTTGTTTCTCAATTAGAAGCAAACCTCTCAATCCAAGACATCGTTTTCTAACCCTGTTGAACATGAGAAAATAAATTTTTATATGAATTCTTTTTCATATGTGTTTGAAAATTTTGTATAGTTAAATTAGACATCGTTTTATCCTAGTCATTGTTTCAAATCTAAAAATGTGAGTGGTGTTAGAAAGGAAAATTTATTTTTTTGACTCTATTAAGGCATGCTTAAAGATGGTTATATAAAATATAAAACATTATTTGTAAGTAAATTTACACCATAAAATACGTGTTATTGAAAAATTTAGCCTTTGCACTCGTTATTGAAAATTTTACAATAAGTAAATTATTGAGACTTTTACCATATGTCATTTAAACATAGTCGAATCCTTCAGGAATTTTATTGCACATGTTTTGTAAAAATAAAAAATTGTTACTACTTTATAAAGCATGCATGACACGTAGGAGTATGAAGCCATGTGGACTAATGTATCACTACAAGCCATGTGATCAGGGGCGAATCTAGCATGAACATTCAGATAGGGTGGAGGTTGACTTTGACCATTGACCGTCGACAATCAACATCGTAAAAGTCTGATCCGACCGACCGCCGATCGTTTATTAAAATTTGATTAAATAATATTAAAAACTAGTCACTATATATGTAAATCCACCAAAATATAAAAATTATATACATATGAAAATATAGTTCAATACAACCCAAAATAATAATCAAAATATACGATGCAATTTCAATCTTACTTTATAATTGTAAACTTAGACAACTGAATTCTACCAGGTCTCATATTTTGAAAACGTCGCAATAATGTAAACTTTTCGAAGAATTACGATGTTCCCTAAACAAATGCCAATTAATAAAATCTAAACCAATTGAGTCGCTACATTTGCATAATCACATAATAAATTTTCCAATCAATCATATCATTCAAAGTAAAGAGCACGCAATAAATCCACCAACAACTAACCGAAAACTGGAAAATTAAACTATTAGTCTATTGTCTACTTCATGAAACAATTTGATTTCCAATTTCTTAAACCTCACTCAACAAAGAATCTATTATCAGGAAAAAAACTGGAAAATTAAAGTACTTCGTATGCATTTGTGGCTTGTGGGCATGTAATATATAAGCCAGAAAAAAGACAGTACCTACGGCGGACTCGGGACTTCACAAATCACGTAGCAGAGTTGTCGATCAAAAATATTTGCTAAAACTGGAATGTGCGTCGATGTGTGCTTGCGTTGAGAGCTTTTGGGAAGGATTTGAGCGGAAGGAATTGGAGGAAAAAGAACTCGAGAATGGTTTCCAATTTGCTCCTCTCTGCTGCGGTTTGACGGGAAGGAGATTAGGAGAAGATTTCCATTTTCATTGATTTGGTATTTGAGCAATTGGGCCTACCTAATTAAAGCAAAAAAAAAAAAGGCCCCCCACTAAGCCCAACTACCCATCAGCCCGAGTCTGTCATCACAGATTAAGTCAGCCCAAATCCTATCTTCCCCTTCTTCTTTCTTCCTTGCGTCTCAGCGTTTGTCTCTGCTACATTCCAGCGGGCCGCAAACGGTGGTTACGACGAATTCAGCCACCACCTAGATCCGAAACTGCACGTGACGCTATATGTTTTTTATTTTCGTTAAAGTAATATGTTTCAATCGATAATCTATATATTTTACAAAATTAACCCTAATTAAAACACACATAATTAATTGTTTGGCTTTAATTTTAACTAGCTCTACTAAAATAAGCAAACAAAAATTTGGAAAAAAAATCAAAGGCTTTGCTTGGTGTACATAATATTTTATACATTAAAGTGTCATCATACTCACATGGGATGAGGCCCATCGAATATTTTATTTCAGTGGACATCACCCTATATAAGTGTATGGATACTTTAAAAAATTATGTACAAGTAGATTTATCAAAAAATCAAATCACAAAAAGCAATAGGATCCTCAATTCACAATTGTAACTTATTTTAGTCTTTAGTTACACCTAGAGATGGTAATGGGTTGAACCCTTACACACACGAGCCGAGCTCATGGCTCGTTAATAACAAGCTGAGCTCGTGCTTAAGGGGCGAGTTCGTGAGTTCACGAGCCACGAGCTCCTGGGCCGAGCCGAACCCACGAGCTCATTAATTTTTATTTTTTATGAAAAATTTGAAAGTTTTCTTCACATTTTTTATGAGGCTCGTGGACCGAGCTCGACAAGCCGGGCGGTTGAGCAGACGAACCGCTCATCCCATTTGACATCCCTTGTTATGCCTTGATAATCAATTATTGCATATGGTGAAAATCAACGATCCAACTATAACCAACAACCTCTTTTGAGGTCAATCGATCGTATACTTGTATGTGAATTTAATTATCTCTAATTAAAGTGTAAACATATTGTAGTGCCCCGAAAATTTTAGAATAAAATTTATTTATTTTATATATTATATATTTACATTTTTTAAGATGAGGACTAAAATGAAAAAATGTTTTAAATTCCTATTTTATTTGATCCAAATAATTAGATATTGTTAGAGCGAGATTTAGTATATCGATATTGGACTCATTTTATAGGTCGTAATTAATTAGAAGTCTTTAACTCGAGAAAAAATTATTTTGGATAAGAACACATTAAGTTCGACTCAATTGAAAGAAAATAGGATAAATAGAACTTTATTTAAACTATAATTCAATTCATTTTCTCTCGTGTGGGTGAGTATTGAATGTTAATTTTATTTTAGTTTAATATTAAAATTAAATCATTTGTACTTGTTTGTTGACACTTTGGGTTACCCGACCCCACCACTCCTCTCACATGAGTTCGGATCCCACGTGGGGGTCATGACGTGGGGTCCTACCCCCCTGTGAGAGGAGGAGGTGTGCCCGAGTAAATCAAAGTGTGAACAAACAAGTACAAGTAACATGACCCTTAATATTAACCTATTTTTAATTTAATGTGATAGCTAGTATCATATTTGGATAACTATGAATTTGTTATTAAAATATAATCCAAATACCTAAACTAGGTTTTATTCAATAAGGCACACGTTTCCTAGTATAACTCAACCACTTTTTTTTACTATAAAAACTATACATGGATTCCATAATTCACACACCAAGTTATACACACATACGAGAGAAAAGAGAGAGATGGTACTTTTGGAAACTAGAAGACAAGAAACCATTTTTGCAACTCTTAACTAAACAAGGTAAGATACATATGTGCAAGTTGTTTTCGTTTCTACATGCTTTTATATGCAATTAAATACGCATGGATTGTTAGTGGACTTTCAGGTTCTATAAAAAGTGAAACGAAATTCTACAAGATATAAGAAGACCTAAGATGGGTGTCTCGTTTGGTTACCGATATACTCCATAAGAGCAGAGCGGTATGAAATCTATTGTTATGTATATCTGTATATGGAAACTGCACGTTTCTTACTGAATTTTTTCGAATACTCACTCTTACAATTTTTTACAGATTAGTTTGGATCAATTGGAATTGTGGCGGGATGGTGATGCAGACTACCAAATGAATCGAAGAAAGGAAAAAAGAAATTTAATATTTAATTTGTTCTTTTTTTGTGTCTCTAAATTATTTGTTAGTTTTATTTGTTCAAAGACTTGTTTATTTATTTTAAATTGATATTTATGGTTGAAAATAAAGAATTTTCTTTATTGATAAATCGTTCCGCAATTATTATAAAGGAAATTGAGTTTTTCGTAACACTCCAACGTTTATAAAATTTGGGACGTTACACATATAATATGCAATTAATTCACAATATCGTCACATAACGATTTCATATAGCATAACGATATGTTCATCCATTATAGGACCGTACATTTTGTGTATTATCATGTGCTAATTCATACCGAACATCTCAAAAACAATATAAGTCACAACATTTTCTAATGGTGCACAAATATCAAACAAAAATGAGCAAATAATTAATCAAATAGTTAATAAGATTTGTTTAGTCTATCATGGTTTGATAACAAAAATACAAGATAAAAGTTAAATCCATAACTGGAATATTTTGGAATAAAAGTTAGTATAGCCATTAATTTTAAATCTTACCAACAATTTCGGACAATGTCTTCTTCTTCTTTTACAGCATTATCCAAAGACTCCAAGAATTTCTTATAATTTTGATCACAAGAATATTGATGTTATTTTATAGGGGATTCCTATTTTATGATAGAAATAGGAAATTCCCCATTCCATTCACATAGGTTTGCTATTTATATAGCCTCAAGAGCGCTTAAATGTTGTCAATCAAATATGCAAAGTATCCTTACTTTTAAATTCAAAGATCTATTTTATTTTATTCTTTTTTTGTTGTTGGTTTGGATGATCCATCCAAGTGCGGGCGAAACGTAGGAAATCGGTCCAACCGCATCCAATTTTTTATCCTTAGGGTGGCTGACCAATG